CTCCTACTTCCATGATACTAGGAGTTGGGGTAATTTAGTATCGATATTTTGATTGGCTGCCTCCTGCTTCCTTTTTTTTTCTTCTTTCTCTTTTTCTTTTTACTTTTTCTTTTTTCCTTTTCCTCTTCGTTTTTTAAATACTTAAATTTTAAGCTCCTATATTATAAGTTTCTGAGTTGAAAATGCTAACATAGGACTTGCTGGTTGAAATAGCTATAGCGATGAGGTAAATTTGTATTTCTTTTTTATGTAATATATATATATATATAAGTGAACATAGAAGTCAACACTTAGAGGTGACAGTCTGTTTCATGCTAGACGCAATCGTCAGGCTATTTTTTGGCCGAGCCTAATGGCTTGGGAATTGCCCACGTTAAAAAGGCCTTGTGCCACATGACACCCTCGTTTGGGGGTGGCTGAATATCGTCAGGCTATCTGACGATTGCGTCTAGCATGAAACAGACTGTCGCCTCTAAATGTTGACTTCTATGTTCACTTTTATATTTACACACACTCTATCTCTGATATTGAGCACTTTATCCCATAAATATAGCACATCTTAAGACATCTTTCTTAATATATATATATATATATATATATATATATATATATATATATATACACACAGACATGACAGAAAATGAATAGACACCAAGATAAATTTTATTTCTGATTTTTTTTAATAACCAAGATAAATTAACTTAGATTATTTGATTAAAATTGCAGATAACAATACTGGAACATGCCACAAACGAAAGGAGCATCAGGCCTATCCGAATTTCAGCGACGACGTATCGTGGGCCAACATGAAGGTGGTCTTAGTCAAAGAAAAATATCTGAAAATCTTTCAATACCTCTTTCTACTGTTAATAGAGTGATTGTACAATTCACCAGAGAGGGCAAGAAGTGCACAAAACTTCATTCAGGCCAGCCTGGGCCCTCTGAAAGAACCTTGCGTCTTGTCGAAAGAAATGTTGAACAGGATCCACGTTGCAAGGCCTCTGACATAGCAACACAAGTTGATGTCAGTCCCAGAACAGCTGTCAGGTATCTTCACAAGCTGAGCTACTATGGCAGAGCTCTGAGAAGGAAACCACTTCTCCGTCCAGCCAATATCAAACGCAGAAAGGATTGGGCTCATGAGATGGTGGAGAGACCTGTGACCTTTTGAATCACTGTCATTTTCTCTGATGAGTCAAGATTCGCATTATTTTCCAACAGTGGAAGAGTATGGGTATGGAGACTCTGTAGTCAAGAGTTTAATTTAAAAAGACTACCGCCAATGGTGAAACATGGAGCCTTTCAGTAATGGTATTGGGTGCAATTTGGAGTGATGATCGCTCAGAGCTTGTGGAGTGTGAAGGAAACATTAATTCAACCAAATATGTTTCTACATTAAAGAAAGGGCTCCTTCTAATATTCTCAAGTATTAGAATGAGCAAAGTTGACTCCCTATTTATGGAAGATGGAGCTCCATGTTACACTGCTCAAGCAACGCAACATTGGTTGAGACAAAATGGGATCAATAAACTTTAATGGCCAAGTCAGTCCCCGGATATTAACCCTATTGAACACCTTTGGGGCATATTAGATCAAAATCTCCGCAAAAAGAACAGGAAGAAATCTTCTAAGCCCGAACTTTTAGGATTATTGCGTCAAACATGGCAAGAAATCCCTCAAGATGATATTCGTGAACTCATCTCTAGCATGCCTAGAAGGGTCCTTGCATTAAAAAAAAGGAAAGGGATGTCAACCAAGTATTAGTTATTAAATTTATGACCATTTATAATTACTTCTTTTGTATAAATTACTTGTTTAATAAAATAAACGGTTTCTGTGAGTGGCTATTCAATTCTGTCATGTCTGTATATATATATATATATATATATATATATATATATATATATATATATATATCAAGGAAAAACTTAACGCATCATCGAAAATACGGTTATAAATTATAATTTATTTCAACGGATAAGTTTTTAAGTTCTCTCTTATCAGATTGAATTTACAAATACTTTAAATTTAAATTTATTCAGAATATTTTAAAAAGCAAAAAGAACAGCAAGTCTAGACTCGTGTCCTAGAAAATCTATAGATGATACGGGCGTTAAGAACTTGCCATTGAAATAAATTATAATTTATAACCGTCTTTTCAATGATGTATTAAACTTTTCCTTGATGTACAGTGCTGTTCGATAAAAGTGACTCACCTGATTTTTTTTTACTAAAAATATTTTGTCAATTGTTTTTGGCGTTAAAATAATTTTTAATTTTACTATTATAAAAAGACCCCTTCCCGACCATATAGGAAAAAAAGTTTATTCACCTTAAGGTATTCTATTGATAATTATAAATTTGGATATAAATGAGATCCAGGAAAAAACTCTGTGCAAAAAAAGTGACTCAGATATCGCATTCTAATGATTAAACTGGTAAATTTAAAAAGCTTTTGACAAAATATTGAAAACTATTTTACAATACACTCAGAACAATATTCTAGAGAATTCTAGAACAGCTTAAATTAAATCTAGAATATTCCAGAATATTCCAGAAAGACTCATACAGTATAAAAACAGCTTGAAATAGCCACTCAAGTCACTAACCAGATGAAAGGGTACAAACACGCATCAGAACCATCTAAGGCATCTATTATTGCCCTCTCAAAAGCAGGCAAGTCTACAAGAGAAATTGCAGAAATTGTTATAACCTCACAATCAACTGTCTCTCGAGTGCTTAGGGCACATAATGATGCCACTCTTGCTCCAAGGAAGGAAACAAGGGGATGAAAGAAAAAGATTGATGATAGAACTGGCAGGGTAATCAAGAGAGAAGTTGCGAAGAATAGGACTATAACTAGCCAAGAAATTGCAGCCAGTCTAAGCGAAGAGCAATGTGTTAGTCTTGCCTCTTCAACAGTCCGTTAGAACAAGGTTACAAATCTTCTTAGAATAAGGCTACAAATCTTGTACACGAAGGTTTAAGCCGCTAATAATCAAAGCCAACAAAGCCAAGAGACTTGAATGGGCTCACTATTACAAAAATTTCACCGTAGAAGACTGGATGAATGTTCTCTTCTCCGAGGAAACCAAAGTTGAGCTAAATTCAAAGGATAAAGTGAGTCACTTTTATCGAACAGTACTGTATATCATATTGCTCTGCATACTATACACTGAGCTCTCTTTAGTGATATATCGTTTTAATATTTTACAGTAAAAAGATCTACTTGGATTGCCCTTACATTTACGGACTTGATATTATCTATCTATCTATCTATCTATCTATCTATATATATATATATATATATATATATATATATATATATGTGTGTGTGTGTGTGTGTGTGTTTGTGTGTGTGTGTGTGCAAAGTTTTTCAGAGTTAACCTCTAGAAAAAGAAAATATTTATAAATGCAAATGACAATAGGAAAACTGTAATATTAGCCAACGTGTTTCGTCCAATGTGGACTTTTTCAAGGCAAAAACGAAATGAATTTATTAAGACAAAGTAACTATTAATAATAAAACAAAACGTTCAGTTGACAATATGAATATAATAACGTTTTCTAAATACTTCGAGTTGCTACTATTTTTGTCAGAAATGTATTGCTGGTAATTTTTTTTTTTTCAAAAGTGTATTTCTGGTAATATTTTTTCAGAAATGCCGGTAATAATTTTTTTTGTCAGAAATGTATTGCTGTTTTTTTTTTTTTTTTTTTTTTTAAATGTATTTCTGGTAATATTTTTCAGAAATGCCGGTAATAATTTTTTGTCAGAAATATATAGTTGGTATTTTTTTTTTCAAAAATGTATTTCTGGTAATATTTTTCAGAAATGCCGGTAATAATTTTTTTTTGGTCAGAAATGTATTGCTGGTATTTTTTTTTTTTTTTTCAAAAATGTATTTCTGGTAATATTTTTCAGAAATGCCGGTATTAATTTTTTTGTCAGAAATGTATTGCTGGTAATTTTTTTTTTTCAGAAATGTATTTCTGGTAATATTTTTTCAGAAATGCCGGGAATAATTTTTTTTGTCAGAAATGTATTGCTGGTATTTTTTTATTTTTTCAAAAATGTATTTCTGGTAATATTTTTCATAAATGCCGGTAATATTTTTTTTTTTTTTTTTTTTGTCAGAAATGTATTTCTGGTAATTTTTTTTTCAAAAGTGTATTTCTGGTATTTTTACTATAAAACTCAGGGTGAATCTGGGAACAACAAGAATTTTACTGATGGTCGCCACTGGTCAAAACCTTCTGATCACAGGCCTTGCTGCCGAATGTAATTTATCGTCATACCCAGCACGGGTTTTAAAAGCTAGCGCCAAACGAGATTAGCTTTCTGAAGACGACCCCAAAGCGGAAGAAACAGAGTCAAATCAAATCTGCGCATCGAGAAATAATTTCCGATTGCACGGACGTGAGGCGTCAGTTCAAAACCTGCAATTAAACGCATTTCTGCTTGCGTAAATATGGCGCGAATTCTTTCTAAATGTCTTGATTCGTTCTCCTCCAAAAAATAAAGGAAAAGAGAACATTTTTGTAAACATACAAGCGCAAACGAATTGACAGTTTTACTAAGCCTTTAATTAAAATCTTACAAATGAGAAATGGCGGCCGGTAACCGAAGGTATTTGTCCAAGACAACATGAAGACGATCAAATGTTTTTAAAACAACGTGAGGTGTGGCTCGGGTATGCGGGCAATTCGCCTGCTGTGAAGGAATGTCTGCGCTTGTTATTAAGTGAAAAGTAAAAGATGGCGACGTTTAGTGAGAATGCTTAATGGAATGAAACGTAGCATTACTATTTGGGTGTCTCTTTGGGAAAGCGCTATTTCTTTGAACTCGATAGTTCGTAGAGGTCAAAGGTAATCGGATTGAGCGTAGGACGCATCAATATGGAAGAGTCTTCATTAGTCGAGCGGGCGGGAGGGCGGTCGGTCGGGATATGAGGACGGGAGGGGGTGTCTGGATTCAGAAATAAAGATTGGAGGCAAAATCAGAGGTTGTAAGAGAAACGGAAGTAAAAGGAAGGAAGGAAGGAAGGAAGGAAGGAAGGAAGGAAGGAAGGAAGGAAAAGAAAGTGAGAAAGAAGAGAAAGGAAGAATAATAATAATGAAGAATGATAACGCGGGGAAGAAAGGAACAAAGGAAAGAACGAAGGAAGAAAGAAATGAATGAATGTTGGAAGGAAGCAATGAGTGAACAAATGAAGGCATGGCGAAAGAAAGGAAGTAATGAGTGAATGAATGAATGAATGAAGGAAGAAAGGAAAGAAGAAGAAATGAATGAACGAATGAAGACAGGAAGGATGATAGAAAGAAATGAGTGAATGAATGAATGAATGAATGAAGGAAGGAAGGAAGGAAGAAAGGGAGGAAGGAAGGAATAAAAGGAAGAAGGAATCACTACATGAATGAATAAAGGAAGGAAGCAATCAGTAAATGAATCAATCAAGGAAGCAATGCGTGAATGAATAAAGGAAAGAAGAAAGGAATAAAGCAATTAATGAATGAAGGACGGAACGAATGAAGGAAGGAAGAAAGGAAGTAATGAGTGAATGAATGAATGAATGAAGGAAGGGAAAAAAGAAAAGAAGACATGAGAGAATGAATGAAGGAAGGGAGGAAGGAAGCAATGAATGAACGAAGAAAGAAAGAAAGAGAGAAAGAAAGAAAGAAAGAAAGAAAGACATGAGTGAATGAATGGAGGAAGGGAGGGACGAAGGAATGAATGGAAGAAGGGCCTAGTGAATGAATGAATACGGGAAAGAAGCAATGTAAATGAATGAAGGAAGGAAACTATGAGTGAATGAATGAATAAAGGAAGCAATGAGCGAATGAACAAAGGAAAGAAGAAAAGAACAAAGCAAGGAAGGAAGGAAGGAAGGAATGAATGAAGGATGGAAAAGAGAAAGCAATAAGTGAATGAATGAATGGAGGAAAGAAGGAATGAAGAAAGAAGAATAAAAGAAGAAATGAATGAATGAATGAAGGAAGGAAGGAAGGAAGGAAGGAAGGAAGAAAGGAAAGAAGAAGAAATGAATGAACCAATGAAGGCAGGAAGGATGGAAGAAAGAAATGAGTGAATGAATGAATGAAGGAAGGAAGGAAGGAAGAAAGGGAGGAAGGAAGGAATAAAAGGAAGAAGGAATCACTACATGAATGAATAAAGGAAGGAAGCAATCAGTGAATGAATGAATCAAGGAAGCAATGCGTGAATGAATAAAGGAAAGAAGAAAGGAATAAAGCAATTAATGAATGAAGGAAAGAATGAATGAAGGAAGGAAGAAAGGAAGTAATGAATGAAGGAGGGAAGGGAAAAAAGAAAAGAAGACATGAGAGAGTGAATGAAAGAAGGGGGGAAGGAAGCAATGAATGAACGAAAAATAAAGAAAAAAGAAAGAAAGAAAGACATGAGTGAATGAATGAATGAATGGAGGAAGGGAGGGACGAAGGAATGAATAGAAGAAGGGCCCAGTGAATGAATGAATAAGGGAAAGAAGCAATGTAAATGAATTAATAAATGAAAGAAGGAAACAATGAGTGAATGAATGACTAAAGGAAGCAATGAGTGAATGAACAAAGGAAAGAAGAAAAGAACAAAGCAATGAATGAATGAAGGAAGGAAGGAAGGAAAGAAGGAAGGAAGGAAGGAAGCAATGAATGAAGGATGGAAAAAAGAAAGCAATGAGTGAATGAATGAATGGAGGAAAGAAGGAATGAAGAAAGAAGAATAAAAGAAGAAATGAATGAATGAAGGAAGGAAGGAAGGAAGGAAGGAAAGAAGGAAGGAGCAAAGAGTAAGCGAATGAAGACAGGAAGGAAGGAAGAAAGAAAGAAATTAGTGAATGAATGAAGGAAGGAAGGAAAGACGGAAGGAAGGAATGGAAGGAAAGGATCAGTGAATGAATGAATAAAGGTAGAAAACAATGAATGAATGTAAGAAGGAAAGAAGAAAAGAAGAAAGCATTGAAGAAAGCAATGAATGAATGAAGGAATGAATGAATGAAGGAAGGAAGGAAGGAATTAATGATTGAAAGATGGAAGGAAGGAAGGAAGATATGAATGAAGGAACGAAGAAAGGAACTAATGAGTGAATGAATGAAGGAAAGAAAGAAAAAAGGAAAAAATGAGTCAATGAATGAAGGAAGCGAGAAAGGGATCAATCAATGAATGAATAAAGGAAGAAATCAATGTAAATGAATTACTGAATGAATGAAACATTGAGTAAATGAACGAATGAATAAAGGAAAAATGGAACTAGTTGAATGAATGAAGGAAAGAAGAAAGGAAGAAAGCAATGGATGACGGAAAAAAGGAACGAAGAAAACTATGAGTGAATGAATGAAGAAAGGGAGAAATCAATGTGAATGAATTACTGAATGAATGAAAACATTGAGTGAATGAATGAAGGAATAAAGAAAGGACGGAAGTAGTTGAATGAAAGAAAGAAAGGAAGAAAGCTATGGATGAATGAAGGAAGAAACGAAGGAAACAATGAGTGAATGAATGAAGAAAGGAAGGAGAGAATGAAGGCAGGAAGGAAGCAATGAGTGAATGAGGGAATGAAAGAAGGAAAAAAGGAAGGAATGAGTGAATGAATGAAAGAAGAAATGAGTAAATGCATGAACAAAGGAATGGATGAAAGAAAGAAAGAAAGAAAGAAAGAAAGAAAGAAAGAAAGAAATGAGTGAATGAATGAAAGATGGGTGGGAGCAATGAGTGAATCAATGAAGGAAGGAAGGAAGAAAGAATGAAAAAGAGAAAAAATGAAAGATTGGAAAAATATATGAAAAAGAAAAGAAAAAGGAGAGAGAAAGAAAGGAAACCTGGAGAAAAACAGACATGAATGAAATGAAAATGAATGGAAGAAAGGAGAAAGTAAGGTAACAGTGTAGAAAAAGAGAAAAAAAGAAGGAAAAAAAGAAAAATAGGAGAGAATGAAGGAAGGAAAAAAGATGAGGAAGGAAGAATGAAGGAAAAAAAGAAGGAAAAAAGGAAAAAATAGGAATGAAGGAAAAAAGAGAAAAAATAGAATGAAGAACGAAAAATAGGAAAAGGAAGGAAGAAAAAGAAAATGAGAGGAAGGAGAAAAAAAAAATAGGAGAAAAAAGAAAAAAAGGAAAGGAAGGAAGTGAATGAAAAGGAAGGAAAAGAGAAAAGAAGAAGGAAGGAAAAAGAAAAAATAGGAGAGGAAGGAAGGAAGTAAAAAAGAGAAAAAAAAGGAAGGAAAAAGAGAAAAATAGGAAGGAAGGAAGGAAGGAAAAAGAGAATAGAAGGAAGGAAGGAGAAAAAGAGAAAAAATAGGAGAGGAAGGAAGGAAGGAAAAAGAGAAAAAATAGGAGAGGAAAAGAAAGAAAAAGAGAAAAAAGAAAAGAAAGAAAAGAGAAAAAATAGGAGAAGGAAGAAAAAAAAAAAGAAGGAAGGAAGGAAAAGAAAAATAGGAAGAAAAGGAAAAAAGAGAAAAAATAGAGAAAGGGGAAGGAAAAAAGAAAAAATGAGAGGAAGGAAGGAAGGAAAAAGAAAAAAAGGAGAGGAAGGAAGAAAAAGGAAAAAAATAGGAAGGAAGAAAGAAAAAAATGGGAGAGAAGGAAGGAAGGAAAAAGAAAAAAAATAGGAGAGGAAGGAAGGAAGGAAAAAAAAAAATAGGAGAAAAAGGAAGGAAGGAAAAAAGAGAAAAAAATGGAAGGAAGGAAGGAAAAAAGAAAAAATAGGAGAGGAAGGAAGGAAGGAAAACGAAGAGAAAAATAGGAGAGAAGGAAGGAAGGAAAAAGAAAAAGGAAGAAGGAAGGAAGAGAAAAATAGGAGAGGAAGGAAAAGGAAAGAGAAAAAATGGAGAGAAAAAAACAGAAAAAAAGGAGAGAAGGAAGGAAGGAAAAAGAGAAAAATGAAGGAAGGAAGGAAGGAAAAAAAGAGAAAAAAATGGAAAAGGAAGGAAAAAGAGAAAAATAGGAGAGGAAGGAAGGAAGGAAAAAGAGAAAAAATAGGGAGGAAGGAAGGAAGGAACAAGAGAAAAAAATGAGAGGAAGAAAAAGAAAAAATAGGAAGGAAAGGAAGGAAAGAAAAAATGAAGGAAGGAAGGAAGGAAAAAAAAAAAAAGGAAAGGAAGGAAGGAAGGAAAAAGAGAAAAAATAGGAGAGGAAGGAAGGAAGGAAAAAAGAGAAAAAATAGGAGAGGAAAAGGAAAAAAGAGAAAAATAGGAGAGGAAGGAAGGAAGGAAGGAAAAAGAAAGAGAAAAAAAAGAAAAAAATAGGAGAGGAAGGAAGGAAGGAAAAAGAGAAAAATAGGAGAGGAAGGAAGGAAGGAAAAAAGAGAAAAAATAGGAGGAAGGAAGGAAGGAAGGAAGGAAAAATAGGAAGGAAGGAAGGAACAAACAAAAATGAGAAAAAAAAAGAGAAAAATAGGAGGAAGGAAGGAAGGAAAAAAGAGAAAAAATAGAAGGAAGGAAGGAAAAAGAAAAAATAGGAGAGGAAGGAAGGAAGGAAAAAAGAAAAAATAGGAAGGAAAAGAGAAAAATAGGAGAGGAAGGAAGGAAGGAAAAAAGAGGAAAATAGGAGAGGAAGGAAAAAAAAGAAGGAGAGAAAAAATAGGAGAGGGAAGGAAAGAAGGAAGGAAGAAAAAAGGAGAGGAAGGAAGGAAGGAAAAAAGGAGAGGAAGGAAGGAAACAGGAAAAAATAGGAAGGAAGGAAGGAAACAAGAGAAAAAAAATAGGAGGAAGGAAGGAAGGAAGGAAAAAACAAAGAGAAAAAATAGGAGAGGAAGGAAGGAAGGAAAAAAGAGAAAAAATAGGAGAGGAAGGAAGGAAGGAAACAAGAGAAAAAATAGGAGAGGAAGGAAGGAAGGAAAAAAGAGAAAAAATAGGAGAGGAAGGAAGGAAGGAAACAAGAGAAAAAATAGGAGAGGAAGGAAGGAAGGAAACAAGAGAAAAAATAGGAGAGGGAAGGAAGGAAAAGAAAAAAGAGAAAAAATCAAATGAAAGCAAAAAGTAAAAATAGGAAAAAAAGGAAAAAGAAAAAAAATAGAAAAGGAAGAAAAAGAGAAAAAGATGAAAAAAAAAATAGAAATGAACACTGGAGAAAAATTAGAAGGAAGGAAGGAAACAATAGAAAAAATCAAATGAAAGCAGTATTGAAGAAAAATAAAATGAAAAAGAAAAAAAGAGAGAGATGAAAAGAAATGAACACTGGAGAAAAATTAGAAGAGGAACGATATAAAGAAAAAAAAAGAGAGGGAAGAAAAAAAGCAAAGTAACGGAATATTGAAGAAAATTTAGAAAGAAAGAAAAAGGGAGAAAGAAATTAAAACTGCAAAAATAATAAGGCGAGGTAGGAAGGGAGGAAGATAGAAGAAGGAAAAAATGCCTACTTTAAAATTCTGCAATGCCAAACAGCTTTAATACAGACATAGATAAAACAGACATGCAAACGGACACTCTGCAAGTTTGTAAATTAGGAGGTGATAATCTAAGGTAATTAATTTGATTTATGACACCCAGTTACCCTCAGAGACACTGTGACATTCTTCACGCACGGATTTCTCTTTCTTTCATATAAACTGAGAAAGCCAAAGGGATCATAGATTTTCTCCGGTGAAACGCGTCTTTGTTTTGATTAAAAATTTTACACTTTGTTTCAAAATCTTCACTTTTGTTTCAGATATTTTTTATATCCTACCCGCGCACAATATATATATATATATATATATATATATATATATATAGATAGAGAGAGAGATATATATAGATAGATATATATATATATATATATATATATATATATATATATATATATATATTATATATATATATATATGTCCTTCTTACCGCTCTATAGCTCTAACATTCGTCACACACTCTCTCTAAATTTCATCTTTTATTTCCGGAGTTGTTTTTTCTGTTTTTTTTGAATTTGTAGGTCTGATGAATTGATCGTATTTACGATTCCAATGGAATAAATTATGACCATGGAATATAAGTGTTTATATATATATATATATATATATATATATATATATATATATATATATATATATATACTAAGAGTAATACTCGTTTGGAAAAAAAACCTCGGATAGCACTACTTATTACTTGTTATTGTGGAAGTGGTGGGGGAAATTTCGTCGTTTTGTCATTCATCGTACGAACGCAAACATCGATGTATGCAGACACATATACATACTTGGTCGTCCGTCGGGACTCATACATATATAAACGTATGTGGGCAGTTTCGGCTATGACACATGTATGTATACGGGTGGTGTTATGTCTATACATACGCATTTGTATGTTGAAATGTTGAAATTTAAACATTGGAAGTGTGGCGGAAATGTCTCGTTAATGTCTCGTCAATGTATACATGTCATATTATGTATTTTTCCGCTGAAAAATATTTCCTCGCATGTATGTATATACGTGTGGTGGGGTTTGTGTAAAATTATGATAGGTAAAAATTATTATTATTTATATTTATTTTAAAAAAAAGTCCCCCCCACTTGCATAATAACACCAATACACGCAATCTACATAAACCCAATTTTTTTAAAACATTAATCAGTTTGTCTGACGATCGCTAAAGCGTGAAACCCAGGTCACAAACTCACATCTATCCAACCAAATAAATATATATATATATATATATATATATATATATATATATATATATATATATATATATATATATTTCTTCAATATAAATTTCTTATTTAAATAATTGTGATAAACTTATTGTCAAAATTTATTATTATTATATAGTCGTTTTTTCAAAATTAATCATATTTCTAAAGGATAAATAGTAATTTTTCTAATCATATTAATTTTTTTTATTAATTTGCTTTTTAATTATGTAGATATTAATGTTATGATTGTTATTTTTTTTTAGATTATAGATATTTGATTTTTTCTTCTATATTGAGTAATCATAAAATTTTCATTCAGATTAAAGTAGTTTAGAATTTAGAAAAAAAAACTTATTCCTAATATTTTTTTAAAAAGCTTAACACTCCGGCCGAGTGACACTGGTTTACATTTTTAAAAACAATACGCTAAATTTAGACTTACTTTCGTCGAATGATGATAGCTCAGTGGTAGGAACTCTGACTGACACCAAATCGGTTTGGTTTCAACCATCGCTTGAGGCATTCGTTTGTATAGTCAAAGTAACGATCTGCCAAACAGTGATGTCGGTAAATTGTATATATATATATATATATATATATACACAGAAAAATTTGAACAATAAAATTTTAAATTTTTCAGACATACTGGCCTGTACATTAATATACGGGAATGAAGAAAATGAACTTTACCTGTAGTTTTCATTTGCTTTTTATCGTTAATTTTGGTCAGTCCTTGTGTTGATCAAACGGCCTCTTTTAAGTTGTTTTTTAGATAAAAGATGTGGAGATTCCTATGTAGCAGAATTCCCTTCTTTGTCATTTTGACAGTTTTATTGGTTGCTGGGAAGGGGATGTGTGCGTGTTAAAAGTATGTTATCGTTTAGTTCTTTGGGAGTGTATATGATGTGTGTAAGTGTATATATTAGTATGTATTAATATGGCGTGTTTATAAGTGTGGGACCTCAACATCTCCGCAGGTATATCTTCCTTTGTGCGTGAGAAATGAGTGTAGGGCTTAATTTATGTGGTTACATATTAATTCTATCTACGCTGTTAAATTCGTTATTAAACCCGTCTGGACGAAGTGTTTTGAGGTGCAAAATCCATTTGTCTTCATGTTCCTCTATAATTTTTGTAATTTTATCTTTTCTGTTTATTTCTATTTTTTTCATTTATAGTGAATTTTACATGGCTTTTAAAATCATGTTTTATCTAGGTGGAAATGTTATTCTACAGGTAATAACCTTTCGTCGGGAGCCGACTTAGTCCGATTCCGATAATTTTTAATTCTGTAGTGAATGGGTCATTCAGATTTTCCTACGTATTTTTTCTGGAATGGTGTGCATTCTAATAGGTAAATCATGTTATGACTTCTACAGTTAGAGTCGTGGTAGATTTTGAAAGTAGATTTAGTGATTGAGTTAGTGAACGAATTGAAGTGTCTAATGTGGTTACAGCATAAGCTCCTTTTGTTGTTACATAGTTGGAAAAATCCTGTTGCTTTTATTTATGGTCTATTATCTATTACCTTATCACCAGAAATTTGGTTACTACCTATAATTTCAATAAGGTTCTTAGGTCTACGATATGCTAGAAAGCCGGGTTCCTCGAACAAAGCTTTTAGGTCTGCTTTGAGATATAGTATTTCCCAGGAGGGGTGGAGCAATAGAGAGGAAAACTGGATCAGGAGTTCGCAACAGTAAAAGGGATCATCATTTCAAGCTAAAAAGATCAACTGGAAAAGATCCAACTCAATTCATAAGATGTTTGGCATGTGAGAGAGGAGTTTCAGCTATGACAGTTCAAAGAGCATTGAAAAAAGACTTGAAAATGAAATCGTGCATGAAACTTGTGAGGCATCTTATTACTCCAGGACAGAAATTTAGAAGATTAAAGAGGCAGAAGATCATCTTGAATAAGTTGGAAATGATCCGGGAACAAACACACACACACACACACACACACACACACACATATATATATATATATATATATATATATATATATATATATATATATATATATATATATAGTTGAACTTTATTTCAATCCTTCGGGATCTTCCGATCCTTAGCTATGATGAATAAATGATGAACATGTCATTTTCGTTTAGGGTCGATTTCATTACGATTCCTCTATGAAGCTTGGGAAGTAATTATAAATTCATTTTGCTCAAAGTATATATACAAAGATTCAGAGCTTAATCGAACAACTGAACAATTTTTTGCCGTTATATGACTTGGACAATTTTGCTGTTACACCCGGTATATATAAGATAACGATATATATATTTTTTTATATATATCAAGAACAGTATTGGAGAAATTGAATGACAAATTAGAAAAATTATGACACGTTCCGTTCTTGATGACTACATCGGACTAAATTTGTCATGTTGTTAGGACAGAGTGGTGTAACTGGGCTGTATATTAATACTTTTTTGTTTTATTATTTCAATCAGGTTCATCGTATAGTTTCGGCCAGCATAGCCATCATCAGGAAAGATTCCTGCTTGTTAGTAGCAGTGAACAACAGGAATGAATGACTTTTTGAAGAAAATGAGCTTTATCTGTAGTTTTCATTTGCTTTTTATCGTTAATTTTGGTCAACCCTTGTGTTGATCAAACGGCCTCTTTTAAGTTGTTTTTTAAGATAACAGCTGTGGAGATTCCCGTGTAGCAGAATTCCCTTCTTGGTCATTTTGAGTTGTATTGGTTGCTGGGAAGGGGATGTTTGCGTGTTAAAAGTATGTTATCATTTAGTTCTTTGGGAGTGTATATGATGTGTGTAAGTGTATATATTAGTATGGGATAAATTTGTCATGTTGTTAGGACAGAGTGGTGTGACAGAGAGAGTTTGGGAAACATACAAACACCACACACACACACACACACACACACACACACATATATATATATATATATATATATATATATATATATATATATATAAACATTGGTAGATTTGAACAGCGAAATTAGATCAGAACAATTTTGTTTACCGAGGGAAACCTGATCTCGCCCATTTGGAATTGGGTCATTAGAAAAGACAATGAAAAAATGATCGAAATAACTTTAATCGGTTAAAATTGAAATAGAGCTTACTCAGGCTATGAGAACTTTGAAACTAACATGGTTTTAGATTGACAGCGATATTCATGATAATCGCGTGCGGAATAAGGGTCGATTTGTGATCAGCCAGGCTTATCTATATAAACGCGCACAGAAATCTATTGACAGAGTGGTTGGCTGGTCTGCCATCGAGTGCAGACGGTCGAGAGAGACGGAAGAGGCCAGACGGGAGAGACCGCGATCGGTCGGCACATCGTCGTTGCTGCGTGCCGCCACGTGCGTGGGCACCCGCAGGCGACCATTACGGGTCGCTGTGCTACAGGAGAGACGGAAGAGCCGTTCGGAAGGGGCCAGACGAGAAAGGTCGACGAGAAAGGCAGACGGTCGGGCGAGATGGAAGAGGCAGGCGTGAGACACCGCAATCGGTCGGCACAGCGTCGTCACATGCGTGAACACCCGCAGGCGACCATTACGGGTCGCGGTGCTACAGGAAGACGGAAGAGCCGGGCGGAAAAGGCAAAAAGTGGTTGCCTGGTCTGCCGTCGCGTGCAGTCGAGCTGGGGAGAGAGGTCGGAGATTGGGAGTGACGTCAGAGAAATAGAACCAAATGCCCGCTAACATATTTTGTTGATATAAGTACGAAGAAGTGAATTACTCCTCCGACGTCTAAGACTACTACTGCTATTATTATTGCTACCACTGGAAACGGAAACGTCGAACAAGCTGCAATAATCAAGAGACGCATATCGTGCTGAGACGATTAGACACAAGGTAATCACAACTCTCTCTCTCTCTCTCTCTCTCTCTCTCTCTCTCTGTGTGTGTGTGTGTGTGTATAGAATCCAGTGTATGAGTTTGTACGTCAATTATTTTCTTTTCTGTAACCCGTTTCTCTTCTCTACTATTCTTTTCTGCTAACATTCAACCATTGAATAGTTGTTTGTTCGGCTTATATATATATATATATATATATATATATATATATATATATATATATATATATATATATATAAATTCATGAATTATTCATACAAAAAAACAAATACAAAGGTTAATGATTTAATTGGCGAGAAATCTAATACCATTTTCGGATTACAATACATCTATTTTCGTTGTCCTCTTATTACTGAGAGTAAAAACAAGAACAAAATCTATTCCATACCTGAGGATGTCTGTAGGAACAGACGAAAGCTTGTAAAAATAATAAGAACTTATGCAACTCAAATTTATAAAACAAGGATCTTTTCATTCATAAACAGGTTCGGGGTTTTTGTATATTATTTGAATTGTTCGCGACGATGGATATTCTCGCCAATTAAATCATTAACCTTTGTATTTGTTATTTGTATGAATAATTCATGAATTTGTAAATTAATTGCACCTTTATTGAAATATATATATATATATATATATATATATATATATATATATATATATATATATATTCTATATTTGCATTCTAAATTTCTTAGCGTAGACTCTCCAGACATGTTTATATCTTTAGTCGACCGTGAATGGATGGACATCACTTCTACTTTCTGGATCAAACCAAACACAACGTGGGTAGGAAGCAGGATTAAACCAGCGGACCGGTCGAATAATTTACGGATGCTCAGAGGACCTACGGCCACTCCCTTAAGTTCGGTTAAGACCGAGTAGACACCTTAACCCAGAGAGTAAGACGTCGAAGGTTGAAGGGCTGGGGCGAAAGTGGTTAGAGTGGTGCTTGGAAATTTAGAATTATTTTTATCTTGCCGAATTTATTTAGTTTTTCCTTTTCTTTTTTCTTTCCATTACTTTTTAAATAGGTGATATTAGTATATATATATATATATATATATATATATATATATATATATATATATATAAAGGATAGAGGTTATAGTAGTTCCACCGAGAGAAAAGTGTGTATATTAAAAAGAGGAGAGAAACCGCAAATGTTTTGTGTTGTTATGTGGACTTTTTAAAAAATATTATGCTTTATTTTCCATAATCTTGCTACACGCGTTTCTGGACTCGCGACCTTCATCAGGCAAAGCGTGGAGATTTCTATAAATTATTAAAATAATTAATTTTTTTAGTATGTTTTTCAATGTTAAATATTATCGATATGAGACATTACCTTTTTAGTGTGTTAGTGACCCAAATGTCTTTCTTCAACTGTTAGTGAAAAGTTCTGTGTGAAGGGTTATAGATAGATATTTATATAGATAGATAGATAGAGATATATATATATATATATATATAGGTGTGTGTGTGTAAAATTCCAGATGTAACAAAAATATATTTGTAAAAGCACAATATGAATAAAGACAAGAGGAAAACTTATCCTATCCAACCCGTTTCGTTATCTAATGGATTTTATTAAGGCAAATGTATGGCTTTTATTTTGCAAGAAAATTCAATCTGGAAAAAAAAGATCATCTGCCTGAAATCAATGATCGGTCTGTTGGCTGCATTGGCTTTCTCAATGTTTGTATGTCTGTGAATCTTGTTCATTACCAGCAGAATTACGGCGAAGAATCCGTAAAAAAGAGAAACTTCAAACGGTAAGGTCTCGTCATAAAAGCCAACAATATTTCAGCGGCCATCCTACAAGGTGCCACCTTAGAGGCAAAAAAGAAGAGGTGGACAGAGGAAAAAAATACGACTGACTGGACTACAAGATCATTCATAGAGACTCAGTAGTTGCTTGTCGGTGAGGAATTATTCTCCAACCTCTAACATCTCACTTACAGGCCGTACGTGGCAAGACTCTCGCTACTCGGTCGCTATTTCCACAGAAAGTGCTCTAACGAGCTACATTCTCTTACCCGTCAATTCAAACGGCAAGGATCCGCTACCTCTCTTACATAGTAGCAAACGACCCACATTCGAACAGTGTCTTCCGGTGAACCGCGACTCTGTGGAACTGATTGCCGAGTGTATGTTTCCCCAATTACTACAATCTTAACCTGTTCAAGGATACGGTTAAGCATTATCTTCCAGTCCTATACGCACAAATTATCTCACACTACGAAATGGACAAAGCCTGACAATTATTTTAATATATTTCATTTTTATACGTTATTTATATACACACAAACAGTTAAGTAAATGCTTTGTTGTTTTTTTTGTTTGTCTTTATTTTTTTATTTTTTTTATTTTATAATAAACACTATTATATTCAGGCCAGTAAATGTTGTTAATACTGTTTATTATATTTAAAAAAAAACAACATTTACTTAATTATTTGCGTCTATATAAATAACGTATAACAATAAAACATATTAAAATAATAATCGGGCTTTGTCCATTTCGTAGTGTGTGACGTCATTTGTTTACGTTAAGATACGCTTCGAGCAGATATGGACGTTCGAGGGAAATCATGGAAATTTGTAGTTTAAAAGCAGTAAAATCGATCTTACTAACCAGACCCTCCTCTGTAGCTAAACTGGAATAAATATATGACGGTTCTGTGTAGGATACGGGTTCGATTCCTGTCGGAGGACACATATTTTCTATCAGGTTTCTCGGACGTTCACACCGGTAAATGTTGTTAATACATTTTATTATAAACAGAGCATTTACTTAAATATCTGTGCATATATAAATAGCGTATATAAATAAAATATATTAAAACAAATTGTCTCCTAACGGTACCCTCTACCTCGAGTGCCCGCACTTGTAAAAGATGAACCTTACTATAGAAAAAAACGCTGCCGAGACATATGGAGGAAACTAGCCAGGTGCTCAGCGGCGTAGTGGTACTACAGTCACACACGATCATGATCCTGACGATGATTATAAAAATGATATGATGACGAAACTAAGGTGATAATTTTAATAGTCATTAGAAGTATGGGGGAGAGTTATGTGCACAACATGTCGAAACACGAGTTTCCGTACAATCAACAAAGTTAAGCAACATCAAGCCTGGTCAGTACCTAGATGGGTGACCGCTTGGGAATGCCATGGGCTGTAAGCTTGGATGTGCGAGTGGTGTAATGGATAATGCATCGGAATTGTTAATGGGAGAACTGAGTTCCAAGGAGGCCCGATGGAGTAATGGATAGTGGCTCGAACGGAAGAATCGGAGAGCGGAGTTCGATTCCAGTCAGATCCGTTACATTCACTTACGTACTAATACCCTTGGGAATGTTATGAATAGCCTTCTTCTCCCTCCAGTTATGAGTAAATAGCAGGGCAGACTGGGTTCTATAGCCTTGGATGGCAACTGGTCTGCAACAGAAAGAAATGGCAACCTACTGCGGGAAGAAAATCTGCCTCGTCAGTCATGCATCACGCATGGTACATAACTGACTGAGTTCCAAGTCTAGTTGGGTTCGTTACGCGAAAATAACCTTAAGAAATGTATGAATCTACCTCTCCTTTATCCAAATATTTTCATGGTAATTGTTCTTAACTAGACTTTGTGAATTTAAGCGCAGTACTAGATTGGCGGGTAGGTCTCATCATTTTACAGCTGAAATTGCTAGATGTAACCATAAGCTCTAGGCTATAGTTCCATCATCGCACTTCTCGCTTGAGGTATTATCTTCCAGCTTATTGCTTCCCAATGAACTTTGATCTTCAAAATTTTAAATGCTATGTTAATCGTTAACTTATGTCTTCTTAATTCTTATTCTTTTATTGTCCTCTCTTCTTAATAGTAGTATTTTTTTCTTAGTAACTCAGTAACCCCTTGAGTCTTAGTGGCTTTATTGCCTTGCTTAAGGTGAAATGATTATAATTTTTTTTTAAAAAATCTACCCAGGTGTCTTGAGCATTATAATGGTTGAACTTTAGTCTAAATTTATTATGAGGTCATAAATAAAGATGTGAATTCAAAAAGGAACAAATGGTTATTTTCCACCATGCTGCTCTTTTCCCCAGAGACGAAAACTTACCCGCCTCTCATGCAAATGGTCTGATGATCTACATTACTTAGATCCACCAGTTCAGACCTTCACATCTTGGACCCGCCATGTCACGTACAGACTGGTATTTTTTCTTCGTATTTCCAGTCAGAGGGCTTCTTCGCCAGAACCGTTATGTTCGACACTTTTTACTTTCTCTATTTAAGACCTTACAATGACCTTATTCATTAAAACTCTACATTAAGTGGCTCTCGGGCCTTGTGAACGGATTTATTAAAGAATGACAAGACTTCATTTTATAAGGTATTCCCAAACCACGGAATAAAACTGAGAAAGCTTTGTGATGACATGAGATACCGCTGGGACGCTCGGATCTAATGGATGTTTTTCCTCCGAAATAAGGGTCGAGCGTTATCAATTATCAGACGATAATTTCTGTCTCTTTGACTATCATGAATTATTTTCCCGCTTTTTTTTTTCTGGACGAGATAATTAAAACAATTTTTTTTTTTTTTTTTAAGGCGAGATAAATTTCATAATGTTTTATTCATTTTGTTCGATTTGCTTGCCATAACCGTTTTTTATTCACCTCTGTCTCCAGGGTTTCATATATTCTGGATATGATCGTAACGAAACCCCATCTGCTTTTCCGAGCACAACTGTCTGCTAAGGCGGCTAGACAATCCCTGTCGCAGGAACCTGCTCAGGCACATTTGTGTTTCTTTAAAACCCACGGAGACCACCTGTGGTTCATTCTGGAACTAAGAACGTATTAGTTTCTGGGACAGGGTTAGAATTAGGGTTAAGATTTTCCTTGACAGTGCACATAATCCGTCGTGAACAGCAGTTTGGGCAACGCCAGTACACTCACACCATCGGTCACTATGACTTGTGACATTGTGTTACAACAACTATTGACGGCTTCCGAAGAGATCAGGTCAACCGAATTTTTATTCACTATGATTTTAGAGACTATTCAAATATACCGCACGTTGGTACCGCCTGCCCAGACTGTTACAATCATGAAGTCGCCTTCCTGACAGATCAACCACGGTGAGATTCCAAGCCGTTCTCAAGGTCGGAGAGCGAACGATCTAGCCACTCGTCTACGCTCAAATATATTTGTTGAAACTTGACTAATGCATGGAATAATAATACAACACAAAATGTACTTAGAACAAAATGTATTGAAACAAGAAAGGTACACAATATTTACATATAGACTTTTGTATATCCTTGGGAAGACCGTTCCTGGAGAATGTGTTGACTTAGTCGGGCAGTCTCTGGATTGAATCTCTTGATTCCTCCCCTCGTCTTCCCGGTACCAACCATATTTTATGGTCGGTACTCCACTATGCAAATTAGGTGGATCCTACCACAACAATATATATATTAGGTTGTTGCAAAAATAATGACGTAATAATGTCGTTTTTTGACGTATTTTTAACGTCAAAAACGACATTATTACGTCATCATTTTTGCACCAACCTAATATATATATATATATATATATATATATGTGTGTGTGTGCGTATATATATACATAATCAGTGAGTGTGAAGATCACTGACAAGTTTGATATATACTTGACAGTTATCGTAAGAACGATAATTGATTTTAAAACAAGTAAGTGACTTACAATGCTTACAGCAGATGTGTCAAAAAACTTTGTTTTGTACAGGGCTTGGCCTGTTTTGTAAACCCTTTTCCACTTGCTGTTGGGTTTTCTTGTGACGGATAAGACCAGAGCTGTTTCTGGAGTTTTGTTTTTTTTATTTATTTATTTATTTTAGGCACATGCGAAGTTATTCCACGCGTAATTTGATCGTAATTTGTGATATGTCTCTCTTTCAGCAGATAACAAGAACTGCACTGGAGAGACATACTTTGCCGAATTAGTCATATGTAAATTGCTGGATGTATGACTTTCCCTTAACTAGGTGCACGTTTGAATTTTGTCCAACACGTTGAATGCTCTTGGAAAATGTTAGTACCTTCATGAATTGTACGTCTGCAGTTATTTTGATCACAAGAATGGGCACACACGAGAGTAAGATGATATGTTCATAGACTATGAAGGAGTAATGCTAGAACTGTGAAATCATGCATGCAATAATTTCAACTCTTCTTATTAATAACTGGTAAAAGAGGACGCTACTGGATATTGGTAAAAAAAGGTTACAAATATCAAGAAGGAAATTTAAATAAACTGTCCCTTTTTAATATTTGGAATTTAATGTAACTGCCAAACATTTCACTTTTAAATTTGACTAGGTAAAGTCGGATTGAAGAACTATTTTCCAGTCGTCTTTTTCATCCATATATATATATATATATATATATATATATAATCAACTCTCCCGTCGAGATTCGACGTATGATGGTCAAGCACATCAGTTTCCAGGAAACCGACAGCCCGAGACCGGCACATGAGATTTGATTATAGTGGTGAAGGCTTCGTGCAGGACCATCCACACTTTTTGTACATATATATATATATATATATATATATATATATATATATATATATATATATATATATGTGTGTGTGTGTGTGTGTACAGTGTGTGTGTGTGTACAGGGTGTCCATAGAGTTCGTGTGCACTTTAAAAATGGATAACTTTATTTGTATTTGCGATAGAAATAATCTCTAAACAAATGTTATAAAGTTTAATGTACCTAGTTTTAAGTATAGCTAAAATAACTAATGTGATTTCAGGCATTACTGTAAATCAGTTGGCAAATGTTTTCCGTGAACTGAAAAATCGTTTTACCCTTTGTATTGCTAATGATGGAGGACATGTGGAAACTTAAATAAAATTTCAATAAAGCCTTAAAAAATATAGATTTACTTCTTTGGAATCCTTTTTACAGATTATTTCTATCGCAAATACAAATAAAGTTACAATTTCTTTAAAGTGCACACGAACTTTATGGACAGCATATATATATATATATATATATATATATATATATAAAATTATAACATAAACATGTTCTAAAATCACTACAAAATAGCCATTTTGTTTCAACAATTCCGGTGTCTTATTGGAATCTATTCTTATACACCGATCATATACTTGATATATATATATATATATATATATATATATATATATATATACTATATATATATATATATATATATATATATATATATATGTGTGTGTGTGTGTGTGTGAATGTCTGTGTGTCACACTTTTTCAAATTAACTCCTATAGGTTGTAGAACATATAGCATTTTTGGAACAGGCCGATTCCGTAAGCAAATTAATAACATTCCGGGACAGATCCGGATCAACAATCCTGAAATTATGGATTCCCAAGCTTTCATTATTACAATTGTTTTCAGCGATGTTTTTACTTCATGTTTTGCGACAAAATCTTTGTACGATAATAATATATATAACTTAGAAATAAGTTTGGGAATAATCGAAATTAATTGCGATATCCATTGAAAGTCACCTATGAAATAAAAATAAATCTTTGTACACAAAGTAAGGACCTACGTACATCAGACTGTCTTTAAATTAAGTGGCGGCAGAAGAATTATTGTTGAACTTTTAAAAGGTAAGCTTAAATATTAATGAAATACTTAAATGCAGCGAAATTTTGAAGTTTATTGGTGCCTATCGCATACGGCAAAAATATGCCTCGCCAAAACAAAAAAAATAATCTCCGCCAACGGAGGCCAGATTGCAATAAAAAGAACCAAATCTGCGCCGTGGAAAAGGAAGTCCCGTGCAAATGAAGATCCAGATCAAACGGTAGCCAGGAGAGCATCCAGTTGTGAGAATTTTCAAAGATTTAGGGGCTCTCAAAATCCTGAACAAATCGACGGTTCAATCAAAAGCTCCCCTCAAGGGCTGGCTTAAATTACACCAGATAGAGCGACTTATAAGCTATAACACACACACACATATATATATATATATATATATACAGTGTAAGAGAGTTGTCGGGACCGGAGAAGAAGTCTCTTATACCCGGGTTTCTCTTATATCCGGGTTTGGTCTATTTTATATACATTAACACAGGCTCTAATTTGGGACCAGAGAAAATCTCTCTTAAATCCGGGTTTCTCTTATATCCAGGTCTCATATATCCGGGTTACACTATATATATATATATATATATATATATAAATATATATATAGTAAAAAATTGAAAAGTAGTAAAAAATTGAAAAGTAGTAAAATCGAACTTGCTAACCACACGCTTTTTCGTAGCTAAACAGGTATAGCACGTCAGGCTATATGAGGGTTCCGTGTAGGAAGCAGGTTCGATTGCTGTCGGAGGACATATATTTTCTATGAAAACTTCTCGGACATTCAGGCTGGTAAATGTTGTTAATACTGTTTATTTATAATAAGAGCATTTACTTAAATATTTGTATCTATATAAAGAGTGCGTAGCAATAATATATATATATATATATATATATATATATATATATATATAGATAGATAGATAGATATAGATATATGTGTGTGTGTGAGAGAGAGAGCGTTTAGTTGAAGATCAATGTATTTTGTCGGTTTAAGATGTTTTCAACTTTGGTTCGGAAAAAGATGTGACCTAACAATAACCTTGGGGTTTATCAGTGTCACTCGAGTCTTAAGCCCGCCTGATAACTGAAACTTTCAACACGTCCGAACGAAGTACTCAAGGCCGGTATACTTGCGTACCTGTGCCTAATGCAAATGTCTGCAGGCGTTACGAAACACCACACAGCGACTGATTTTGACTAGCTTCATCTTTCCCGTTGGAAAAACGCCTTTCTCAATCTTCACTGAATCTCTTATTTGCGTCTTAGACTTTTTGCATGAGTCGTCTTCGCTGTTGTTATCACGAAGCTTCGTCCTTTCTACAGGTCTCTGGCTAGAATTCCGTTCTTGCTAAGAGATGTCG